GTGCAATATTATGCAAATATGTTGCATAAGATTGCACTTCTATGGAATGCAGGGAAACACAGCATTCGGGTTTGAAAATGACACACAAAGTAACTTTTGTTTTCTAAGTGTCATTGCAGCTACCTGGATTTTTCCATCCATTTTTATCTAAGCACAAGGCATGAAAATCTATACAGGGTGTGTTGACCTGCAGGCTTTAGTGCAATAAAGAGCAACAAAATCCAACAGAATTGTTTTAAAAATGCAAACCATAAAGCACTGCAAACCCATTAATCCTCCAAGATGCCAATGAGATCACTTTAATATTACCAAATTTAAAAATACCATTAGTATAAAATACAAGAGATTTTGAACATCAAACAACGTAGGTCATGATACCTAGACAATAAAAATATTGTACACCTATTTTTAGGTGTACATTTAACTGATCTGCAGAAACACAAATTAAGCAGGGTTTAATTGAAAGAAACTGGAGTCACCATAATATTATTTTCACAAATGTTCCCACTGTGTCAAGTTCTACCTAAAGTAGAACTAAAGGCAAAAGATTTTAGTGTCCCCATGTAAGATTTCCCCTCTATTACTGTGCTGGGGCCACCCAAAAATTGGGATTTTCTTTCAGTTATAAAGTTACTTCAGCTACTGTTGTAATACTTTCAGGACAAACAATGCAGAAATAAAAATAAGAGCACAAAAAGCAAAGCGCTTCAAACTGCAGAAAAACACAAGTAAGGTCCATTTCACACAGGGCAGACTGTTTGGATCAGCAGGGGATCTGTACCCTGCTGATCAGCGCAGTGCGGGTGGATGACAGGTCAGTATTCGCTCAGTATCAGCACAGCGAACATGGACACCCAACTGCCCTCCGATTCAATACATCTAGATGGAGGACGAATCCCCTTCTGTTTCTTATTTAGCGGACTGGAGGTAGGCAGTCCATATAGTGGAACATAGCAGCAGCGGCTTCCACTATATGTATATGATTGGATATTATGCCAATAGTAATATGGACACTGACAAATGTGAGTGTTTAATTTTTATATTTAAAAAATGAAATGGTTTAAAATGGTTTTACACGAGTCCCACCTTTGTTTATTTTAATTGTTGAGTGGAGTTAACGCCTGGTCTATGGAGGAGAAAGAGAGTGAATTGACAACATTAAGAGTTATTGACCTTCTTTCTTACAAAGAGGTCCACGATCTTTGGTGAGTTTAAGCTGTCCAAAAGTGTGAACAGATTTTGGTTTCTTTTTGTGTGGAGCATTAATGATAATTCAATTTTGTGTGGAACACATCTGATCTTTGGATTTTCTTGGTCACATTTATATGAACACTTTCTGGATACACAAATCATGAACACTTGATCATGACATGTGGTGGAGTGGACACTTTTTTTCAGCACTTTATTGCACTTTGATATAACAAAATTTATTTGTTTTCACTTTATGAAATTTTGCAATTTTTAGTATCAATACTATATTGTTTAATGTGAGGATATTTACACAAACAATATTACTATATTAACAGTAGCATTTTATTGGTATAAGAAATTTTTTTTCTTTGTATAAGCACTTTATGTTTTTTAGCACTGCTTTCATTAATTTTTTATATTCTTTATATTTAGTTTTATGCAATCGCGCTATTGACTGAAAATTGACAATTCTAGTTTTTAATGCAGCAATCACACATCCCGTTTACTGCTGGGAAAATGACACAAAATACTATACATCCAGTACATTAAAGGATGACATGGAATAACTCGAATACTTTCTGATGTATGTTTATTTTTAAAGGTGTAAGTCCATCTAACTTTTTTTTTTAATTTTAAGATTTTGAAGAAGTATTGCAACCCCTGATGGATCTCTGCTGTTCTCTGTGGCTCCTTACATACCATCACATTAGCAGTGATATCACTGAACAGAAAGTATGTGACAATCTCCAACAGAGACAGCAATAAAAATCTGACAGGGGGGGCAACCCTCCATCTCCCCCCCCCCCCCCCCAAAAAAAAAGTATTGCTATCTAGGTTGCTGTTGGAGACTTCCCCTTATGGTGAAACTGTGGAAACCAGGAAAATAAGTGAGAGATAGTCTCTTTGGAAAAGCACTGAATTGGAGCACAACCTGTTAGGCAGTTCTCAATTTAAAATTTTGCTGAAAATAGGTTATGTCCCTAAAAAAAAAAAAAAAATACAAAAAGAACATCAAGGGCTCATTCACATCAGGAAGTGCCACTGAGCATGTATGGTTTTTTTTTGCGCGTTTCTGTGCATCACGTTTGGGACAGCCCAAAAAATGTCAGCGGTCTGTCCTACGTGCGTAAAACAAGCAAAAAAGGTGCAGGCAGCACCTTGTGCATTTTGACAGGCACAGAGGCAAGCGTCTGCTTATAAAATAATGGCACCTGCATGCGTCTGTAAAGGCAAAGCTCTTCTGCGGGAAAACGTGTGATTTTTTTTCATGCATTCCCACACTGCACCTGGTGTAAACAAGCCCCAGTACTGACCTGTCCTGCCACCCATTCCTGGAATCTTCAGTCTTGAGAAGTTAGGGCCTACAACAGAATTCACTTCGGAAACATGTCTGGGTTTATCGAATCCCATGGTTAACACCCGCCAACCCTTACTTCAGTACAGATAACACAGGGGCCAGCAAACGGAACCACAGCGTGCAGTGAACAGGTATCTGACACACCTGGAAGCATGTTGGATGTGAACATTCTGCTGGATGTTGTAGCTCTTCAAATATTGAAGATTGCAGGGATGGTGGAAGAACAGGAAAGCCAAAAAGCCCAACTCCAGGATGCAGGGGGGAGAAAAAAAAAAATACCTCTGTAGCAGGGGGCTCCACTGCAAGGATCATTACCTGGAGTTGGGCTTTGGTGGAGCTAAAGCTAAAAATGGTAGAAATTGTGAGTAGGCAGCTCTTTATTGTAGAAGAGACGCTATGCCTCCTCTGCAGTAACCCTTGGTTTACACTACCGTGGGCCATGTGGTCCGCATTTCCTTAAGCATGGCAGCCCTTTCATTTGAATGGGCTGCTGTGCCCACGTTTCCCCACAGACAAAAGGTGCATGCAGCTTTTCAAAAACACTTCCGGCAGGGAAATCACATGGTTCTTGAGACCATGCGATTTCCTTGCAGTCCCCACACCTGCAAACACACTGCAGGTTGGGATGAATGGCAGCCCAGTGCGACTCGTAGCAGCAGCGTAATTTGGCTATGGGTGTTTCCGGGTGCAGGAACAGGTGCAATTCCTGCACCCCTTCCTTGTCAGTCACTTAAATCCTTACCCTTTCCCATTTTTTTCTGCTTTCAACACATTGACTTCAGGGACAACATGTTCATTGCTACCCAATATATCAAATCCCACCACTTTCAGATGCCACTGTACTGAAAGAATGTTATTCACTTTACCTGTCAGTGCTCATATAAGTAAATCTGACATTTTATATTCCTGATATACCATGTACTCGTAGGAACAAAGTATCCTATTCTCTTTGTATTGCTTCCTTTGAATGAAATCCCTGGTGTTCCCGACAGTCCCTCTGCTTTCCCATTAAAACTGACCACACTAGGCAGGAGAACATGCTGTGGTCAGTTCTCCAGCTGTTCTGGGAACTCAACCTGCTCTCCTCCAATGGTCAGACTTGTGCTGACACACCCCCTTTGCTCCTGTATAGCCATTCACTGGGAAGAGCAGTGTGCTGTTTCTCCTCCTTGAGCTCCTTATTCAGCTGAGAAAGAGGATTATGTGATCACTTATAAAGAGGGGGAAACGATTTATAATGCGTTTTATATGTATACACAAATGTTTGGCCTTTTATCTCTACTTTACAAGGTGAGGGTTCACTTATACTTTAACTTAGCCAAAAGGAGGTAATATGAGGACAAACCCAAACAATCCATTTAATAATTATCCAATCAGGCAGGCCCTTTCGCTACATATACTATACCAGGGTGAGCAACTGTGACCCTTCAGCTGTTGTGGAACTACATGTCCCATGAGGCATTGCAAGACAGACAGTTACAAGCATGACTACCAGAGGCATGATGGGACTTGCAGTTCCACAACAATTGGCAGGCCACAGTTGCCGACCCGTACATATACAATCTGATTGTACAATCGCCTTTAGATTTATCATCAACAATGTAGCTGGAGGGCCTGTCTGATTGGATACTACTTGAATGGGTTGGTTGGATGTGTCCTCAATTTTGGTGAATCTAAAGGAATCAGTACAATCAAACTGCATAGTGTATGGCCACCTTAAAGTATAACTAAAGGAAAAACTTTTGTTTCACAAAGTGAAGAGGGATTAGAACACCTTTCAGGTTTTTATCGCTGCCTGTGTCCCTATTAGGGAGATTCACCCGTTATCACTGTGAGTGAATGTAAACCCCAAATCCTGGGCTGTCCTCACAACAGTGATAGAGGAAAATCTTCCAATGAGGACACTAGTTCTGGTGGGATTTTCTTTCACTTCCTGTTTTGGCTTTGGGACAGGAAGTGAAATTTCCACAATGGCACACAGATGGCAAAAAGAACTGTCAGGGATTAACCTTCACTAATGGTGGCCATACACTGGATGAAATGTCGTTCAAAAATATGTCATCTGGACAGTCCGTTCGTTTTTTCATCCAGTTAATGGGCACAAATCGAAAATCAGTAGTGACATTTTTGAGCCAAAAAAAAAAAAAATCAAAGGAAAAGTTTGGAAACCTTCTGCTGAACGGATGATCAATTGAAAGGTTAATGTGCTTCTCACCCTTTAAAACCCAACTGCTGGCACTGAGCACATGTGATCCAGAAGCAAAAAACACAAACAAAATGATTCATCTATGTCCACTGAATGATTTATCGGTCAAAATTCGGTCATTACATGATGGCAATATTGTTTGCCCGTAGGAACACGTGTTCATATTTTGGAAACCCGTTCAAATGATTTTTCGACTAGTGTATGGCCAGCTTTAATTTTATCCAAAATGAAAAAAAAAAAAGTTGTACTTTCAGGGCCAGTTCACACCACAAAAACGCACTGTGGATGCATTTTTTGCTTACACTTCACACCACAATCCGTTTCAATGCGTTTTGCTATGTTCCAGTACAGTTCTGTGCAGAAAAAAATGCAGCATGTTCTACTTTTTTTTTCTGCACTAGTGTGAACTAGAGCCAATGAAATACATGGAAAACGCTGTGCGTGCATTTTATATTGCGGGGAACAACACATGCCTGCTGTGAGCTATAAAGTAAACTAAGGGGAACATTTTTTTTTTTAGTTGTGGATAGAATGGAGAGACATAAGAATCTTAGATTGTAAGCTCCAAGGATCAGGGCCCTCCTATCCCTCTTGTATTGAACTGTATTGTTGCTGTATTGTATCCCGTTATATTGTAAAGTGCTGAGCAAACTGTTGGTGCTATATAAATCCTGTATAATAATAAGAACACCTGACATTTGTATTGCTGTCTGTGTCCTTGTTATGGGGATTCATCCTATTTGTCATCTTTACCATTATCATTGGGATTGAAGAAAAAAAAAAAAACTCAAATTTTGGGTTGTCCCCAGACAATGAACAGAGGGGAAATCTTCCAATAGGGACACTAGTTCTAGGGAAAAAAAAAAAAAACATATTCCCCCACTTTGCAGGGATTTCCTCTCACTTCCTGTTTTGGCTATGGGACAGGAAGTAAAGGGAAATATCTCCAATGGGACACAGATGGCAAAAACAGACTGACTGATATGGGGTATAACTGGGCTCTCCAAACTTTCTAAACAAAGGGCAATTTTACTGTCCTTCAGACTTCAGGGGGTGCAGACTGTGTCCAGTCACAGGAGAAATAGTCCTACAACACTGGGGGGAAATAATGGGTCAGATAAATGCAAGCAAAGGGAGGCAGTTTGGAGACCACAGTCCTGCCTTTACTTCTAGGTTAGGGGCCAGTTCACACTACATGCGCTTTTTTGCATCCAAAACGCACAGAAAGTAGGTTCTCTGTTTGTCAATGTCATAGTTCACATCAGTGCTTGCAGTTCCAGTGAGTTCCAGTTGCAGAAAAAAAGTAGAACATGCTGCATTTTTCCTGCACAAAACTGTACTGGGACACAGTAAAACGCATCAAAAATGCAGTGGAACGCATGTTTCTATTTACATTGAAGAAAAAGAGGAGAAAAAATGAACTGGAATGCGTCAAAAATGCATCAAAAACACACCAGAACGTGCTAAAAACACACGTTGCAAAAAACACATCCGGAACGTGCAAAAAACACACGTGCAAAAAACACATCCGGAACATGCAAAAAAAACACACGTGCAAAAAACACATCCGGAACATGCAAAAAAACACATCCGGAACATGCAAAAAACACACACGTGCAAAAAACACATCCGGAACGTGCAAAAAAACACGCGTGCAAAAAAACACACGTGCCGGAACGTGCAAAAAACACACGTGCAAAAAACACATCCGGAACATGCAAAAAAAAAACACACGTGCAAAAAACACATCAGGAACATGCAAAAAAACACACGTGCAAAAAAAACACATCCGGAACATGCAAAAAAAAAAAACACATCCGGAACATGCAAAAAAACACACGTGCAAAAAACACATCCGGAACGTGCAAAAAAAACACGCGTGCAAAAAACACATCCGAAACGTGCAAAAAAAAACACACGTGCAAAAAAACACATCCGGAACATGCAAAAAAAAAACACACGTGCAAAAAACACATCCGGAACATGCAAAAAAAACACACGTGCAAAAAACACATCCGAACATGCAAAAAAAAACACAACGTGCAAAAAAACGCATCTGGACTGCATTTTTATAGTATAAACCGGCCCTAAATGAGATCCTCAGCCTTATAAGGATTGTACAATCAGATTGTATAGCATATGGTCAGCCTTATTAGGATTGTACAATCAGATTGCATAGCGTATGCCCAGCCTTACTAAGGTTGTACAATCAGATTGCATAGCATATGGTCAGCCTTATTAAGGTTGTACAATCAGATTGCATAGCAATATGGTCAGCCTTATTAATTGTTGTACAATCAGATTGCATAGCATATGGCCCAGCCTTATTAGGATTGTACAATCAGATTGCATAGCATATGGCCAGCCTTACTAAGGTTGTACAATCAGATTGCATAGCATATGGCCAGCCTTACTAAGGTTGTACAATCAGATTGTATAGCATATGGCCAGCCTTACTAAGGTTGTACAATCAGATTGTATAGCATATGGCCAGCCTTACTAAGGTTGTACAATCAGATTGCATAGCATATGGCCAGCCTTATTGGGATTGTACAATCAGATTGCATAGTGTATGTTGGAGATATTGTACGGAGAAGGAAGAGTCGGCAGCTGTGGGCTCCCCGTACGATGTGTTAGTAAATACAGTGGTGACCAGACGCTCCTGCACAGACTCTGACCCCCATCCCGCTCCCTCGGGCCCTCAGCTCAGGCCGGAGACACACAATGGAGAGGAAGGAAGTTCTCTGAGCAGGGCTTAGCCCGGGACTCGGTGTAGGCCTGAGCCTCCATACACACACATAGGCCGCTCCGGGCCCGCACCGCCCCCGCTGGGAGGAGGAGGGGAGCGCACACACACGGATAAGGAAGAAGCGGCGCCTCCACACGTTGTTTGTGTGAGTGCGGAAAGTTCTCCTTGTGACCAGCCCGCCACAACCTCCCTCCTCCCCGAGTCCTGCCACACTCCCCCCGAACCCCCAGCACCTTCACACTCACCCCACACACGCTCCGGCGCCTCTCCTCCGCCCGCCACACTCACAAAAGACACTCCGGATCTCCGGCGGAGAATCTCTCACTGCGGTGTCCGGCACAGGACACAACACAACAAAGACTTCCGTCATCTGCCGCTAGAGGCCGCTGCTGAGTGTGTTCTCCGCATCGCCTGCACTCCTGCCCTCCCATCTATTTCTATGTAGTGTGTGTACTGTACACATCGTACAATCAAGTCCACAGGAGATCAAGGACCGCCACCAGGGTTCAATGAAGAGCCACGAAAAAAATCAAAACACCAAAACCAACAATAAAGTAATAAAAAATGCAATGGCTTCATTGTGACTTTTTATGACTTTAACTCAAATAGAACTAAAGACAATTTTTTTTTATTTTGGATAACATAACGGGGGTTATTACCCGTCATTTTTTGTTTTGCCATTTGTGTCTCATAGGGGAGGTTTCCTTTCACTTCCTGTCCATAGCCAAAACAGGAAGCAAGAGGAAATCCCTCCAAAGTGAAGGAATCCTGGCGGTAGCAGAACTACCAAGGTTCCAAAGGTCATACTTGCGACTGATGCTGTGCTGGACCTGGTAATCTCAAACCATGCAGAGCTTATTACGACTATCCATATAAAAGAACATCTGGGTAGCAGTGACCATAACATGATTTCATTTATTGTTGGCTGTAAACAGCAAGCACATATGGGAAAATAAAAACGCTCAACTTTAAGAGAGATAATTTTCCAAGGCTGAGAGCTGCTCTCTTAAACTTAGACTGGGAGGGAATATTGGCATCAATGAACACAACACAGAAATGGGAGTTCTTCAAAAAGACTGTATGTGAACACACTGCAAAATATATTCCCATGGGCAACAAGTTTAAAAGGCTGAAAATCAAACTATGTGGCTTATGGCCAAAAGTTAAAAAAGTTATAGATAATAAGAAAGGAGCTTTCATTAAATATAACAATGAAGGAATGCTATCATCATTTAAACATTACAAAGAGTATAACAGATAATGCAAAAAGGAAATAAAAGCTGCCAAAATTGAAAATGAATGACAGATTGCAAAAGATAGCAGGACCAACCCCAAAAATATATTACTAGTAAAAAGGTCCAGTCCCAGCATGTAGGCCCTTTACAAAATAATCTAGAGTGGGTGACTGGGGACAAAGAGAAGGCACATTTATTTAATACCTTCTTCAGCTCTGTGTATACAAATGAGCACGGAGGAGCTCTTGTCCACAGTGGGGATGGTGTTGACACAGCTCCAGATGATCCACATTGGCTCACAATTGATATGATCCAAAAATATTTAGACAGTATAAAGGTGAATAAAGCACCTGGACCGGATGGCATACACCCACGGGTCCTTAAAGAATTGAGATCTGCCATTTCAAAGCCATTGTTTCTCATTTTTAGGAACTCTTTAATGACTGGCATAGTACCACTGGATTGGCATAAGGCCAATGTGGTGCCAATATTTAAAAAGGCATCAAAATCTTTACCAAGCAATTATAGACCTGGTACCGTATTTTTCGCCGTATAAGACGCACCTGACCATAAGACGCACCTAGGTTTTTTAGAGGCATAAAACAGGAAAAAAAAAATTCTGAACTAATGGACTGCAGACACAGTACAGGAGATGACCAGAGACTGCGGACAGCACAGGGATGACCAGAGACTGCGGACAGCACAGGGATGACCAGAGACTGCGGACAGCACAGGGATGACCAGAGACTGCGGACAGCACAGGGATGACCAGAGACTGCGGACAGCACAGGGATGACCAGAGACTGCGGACAGCACAGGGATGACCAGAGACTGCGGACAGCACAGGGATGACCAGAGACTGCGGACAGCACAGGGATGACCAGAGACTGCGGACAGCACAGGGATGACCAGAGACTGCGGACAGTACAGATGACTGCTGACCTTTGGGGAGGTGGGGAGCGGGTACCTGAATTTGACAGGTACCCGCTCTTACTTCCGCAGAGTTTTTTTGTTTGATCTTACCTGTTCCTCGATCCAGCTGCGCGCTGTCTTCCCGGCTTCTGTAATGGCGCTCGGCATGACAGCCGGGTGCCCAGTGCGCATGAGCGAGAAGCACTTGCGCTTTGTGATTGGTCCGGCAGCTTCTGGGATCTGTCATGTGTCCCAGGTACCGCCTTACCATTCACAAAAAGCACCGCTTCTTGCACATGCGCACTTGGCACCCGGCTGTCATGCCCAGTTCCCACACTACAGAAGCCGGGAAGACAGCACGCCGCTGGATAGAGGAACAGGTAAGGTCCCGCTGCAGAGCTGAGCGGCCGGCCCGGTATTCTGACACGGCCGCGGTGGAAATACCGGACCAGGCCGCTCCATATTCGCCCCATAAGACGCACTGACATTTCCCCCCCCCCCCAGTTTTGGGGAAGAAAAAGTGCGTCTTATACGGCGAAAAATACGGTAGTTTAACTTCTATAGTTGGGAAGATACTGAAGAGTTTCATAAAAGACCACATTGATGAGTTCTTGCTGGAAAAAAAAAAATATTTTAAGCAACAGACAGCATGGATTCATGAAAGACAGAAGTCAAACAAATCTGATTTCTTTTTATGAGGAGGTGAGCAAAACCTTGGACAGAGGGGTGGCTGTGGATGTGGTATACTTGGATTTTGCAAAAGTTCCCCACACACGGCTAATGTGTAAGGTAAAGTCTACCAGCTTGGAAAAATCTGTATGTAAATGCATAGAAAGCTGGCTAAAAGATCGTATTCAGAGAGTAGTGGTTAATGATTCATACTCTGAATGTTCTAGGGTTGTCAGTGGTGTACCCCAAGGTTCAGTGTTGGAACCCTTACTTTTTAATATATTTATAAACGATATAGGGTCTGTGATTAAAAATCCCATTTCAGTCTTTGCAGATGACACCAAGCTGTGCAGTGGAATAACGTCCTTACAGGATGTCTCCAACTTACAAGCCAACCTCAATGCATTGTTTAATTGGGTAATTATGTGGCAAATGAGGTTTAGAGTTGATAAATGTAAGGTTATGCACTTGGGGGCTATGAATATGCATGCATCATACATAATGGGGGGGGGGTACGTACAACTGGGGGAATCAGTGCTGGAGAAGGATCTGGGAGTTCTGGTAGATCACAAGCTTAATAATGGCATGCAATGCCAAGCTGCGGTTTCTAAAGCGAGCAAAATCCTCTCTTGTATTAAAAGAGGTATAGACTCCAGAGAGAGAGATATCATATTATCCCTGTACAAATCATTAGGAAGACCTCATCTGGAATATGCAGTTCAGTTTTGGGCACCAATTCACAAAAAGAACATTGGGGAACTGGAGAAGGGCAACCAAACTGATAAGGGGCATGGAGGAGATCAGCTATGAGGAAAGATTAGAGGAATTGAATTTATTCTCTCTCGAGAAGAGGAGATTAAGG